AGATTTGCCACCGATGTTGATGCAACGTGAGAGGCTGCCGTTACAGACGCCTTCCATTAAAAACACAGTTTATTCTAATGCCAGTCAAACGTATCCCTGCGACGCTAAAAACGACAGTGTGGGCAAAAACTATAGCACAAATTGGAGGAAAACTCGGCTTTATTTGAAAACGAAAAATTCCAGGCAGCAAATCATCTTTAAATTAATATTTTAAGAATTTTACGTAAGAAAAAATTAGTTTTAAAATAAACGATAAAACCCTCATAAAACTGTGAAATATTTCAATTGTGAACTAGTTATTGAAATTATTTGCATATCCAATTCGAGTTACCTACATTTGCATGAAACTGTGGTGCTAAACGTCCGCCGTTTTCTATTAATTTGCCTGCTTTTTTCAATTGACTATTAGCCACTGTTGTCGGAAGTGAGCTCCATGTCTCTGATGCATGCCTACTTAACGGCGGTATATATTTCGTTGGCATTGTTACCATTGATAGGTTCTGGGATTGTTGCTTAATGTAAGACGTTTTCATGTAGTTGCTGATAGTTGGCCCGTAAGGCAGCGGAATCATAGAAGGATGTTGCATTTTGCCTGTACTCCGGTCAAAGGCATTCAAGCCGGGAATAAAAATATCACTAGGTGGGCACGATTCCGTCGGCTCGAAATTGGTTGCAATCAAATTTTGACCTATAACCTGTTGCGTCTGGCCTACTTTGTAATATTGTTCACGCATAAGGTGTTGTTGACGTGAAATATGTGACTCCAGCGCATATTGCTTTTGTAAGAGTTGCCGCTTTTGCTGCAGAAATCTGTGTTGCATCAGTTGTTGCTGCAGAGGCTGTCTCTGTATCGCCAATGGACTCACGTTGCAAAGCAAAGCCATGTCACCACGGGCTGCGCTAGTCATCGGCAAATTAGTTGAATCGAAACGCCCATTGCTTAGAAATGGTGGATTTAAATCAACACTTTCAAAACTGTGGTTTGGCCGTACTAGATGTGGAGTCCTCGGAGCATGTGGCGTTTGCATCATCTGGTGATGTAAATCTAATGACAGTCTATTTGGTATTGAGTAAAATTGACTACTTTGAAATTGATAATTGTTTCCATCGTCTAGAGGTACTTTATTGTTACGATACTTTGATTTAAGTGACACAACTTCCTTTTGCAGTTGCTGCAACTCCAGCCAACAGTCCTGTTTTCGGCTGTCGTAACGATAACTACCATAACCAACGGCAGAATTCAAAATTGTCATTGAATTTGCAAATCCTTGGGCAACAAGACCATCACTTGCCCGACGACCTTCCCTGCAGTACCAAAATAAATATGTATGTACAATAATTGTCAAAGTCTGATATCGGTTATGAGCCTTCAATTACCTAAAATTAATTGGTGACCTTTTATCAATGCAAGTCTCCGGAGAATTAGCACACAATGTCGAAGAATTGCTCGAAACGGGCAAGTGAAAGCATGAATTATTGCTTTTGTAGATGGAACGATCTGACATCTGATCAGATGTCGCTAAGGTGGTACTACTGGCGCACGAGGGTAGACTACTTGCCAAGTCAATGCTTGTCATGTTCAAATCGATGCCTTCTAAAATTGAGCAGTTGCTGTTTGATGAACCACGACTAAGGTTTTGGCTCAAGCTTTTCGAATAACTTCCTATTACTCCGCTTGATGAACTACTGCTAGCATAAGATTGTATTCGTTGAGTTAGATCAGAAGTAGATTGCGAACAGTCTAAAAAATATTACATCGAAAAACAAGATATTAATTAGACGCTAGAGAGTTAAATATACATACATGTGTCGCACGTTGAATATTTAATATAGAGGAAAAATTTAAGTTTTTGGAGTTTTCATCATACAATTAATAAGCTTGATAAAGAGAATATGTTCAGTCAAACAGATACCTCAACTTCCCCAAAAATGGTGAAGATATCGCACACCTATCGTACATCTAAAGCGAGCTAACTAAAATTTCAGATCAGGAAATATAATTGCTTGTGAATCGTACATATTCAACTCATCTAATACCAAAACAGATATAACAGCAGGTTTTTAGTTAGTGTACATAATCGCGAAGAAAAAAATATTTGCATTTATTGGAGGTTGCTTTACATGGTTAAATTTTTTTGAATTTAAGTTTTTCGTTCTTTACATGGGAAACGACGAAAATGTCAAAAGCAAAGCAAGAACAGAGAACGTAAAGTGCAGAGAAGGACCGAAAACTGCGAATGTCACATTTTTCGAGCCAACTGAACAAGCGAAGCGCATTTTAAGAGCGACCAATATTTGGAAAAAATACAAAGCAGAAAAGAAGAATATTAACAGAGCTAAATCTCAGAGAGCGTTTGCAATGTCAATTAAATATGAATAAAATTTTCAAATAGAAAACCCAAAAGTGAGATTTTTTGCGAAAATAATTGTTTTATTAAAAAGTTTATTTTTTTTCGGCAATTTGTACAAGTAACATGGAATTAAATCGAAAATATTATACCAAATTTTCCGATTTTTGTGATATTTCATTAATGATTGCGAATAGAAAACTCCCAAAGTGTTTTTTGTGAAAACATTTTTTGATAAAAAATCCTTTTTTCCGGTGATTTCTACAAACACCGTGAAAATAAATCGAAAATGTTGTATAGCATTTTTCGATTCGTTTCGACTTTTGTAATATTTTGTTAGATTTTCAAACTTTGTATGGAAAAACTTTATTGGTGTTAGATTTTTTTTGTAAATAGATTTTTTGAGAAAAAAAAATTTCTTTCAGGTGATTTGTACAAACAACGTTAAAATAAATCAAAAATATTAGATAACATTTTCCAATTTTGGTGATATTTAAAAAAAAAAAAAAAAAATTTATTGGTTTTGGATTTGCTAAACTAAGCCGAAACTATTTAAGCGTTTTTCCAAATTTTCGATATTTATGGAAATAACTATGTTTTCAAAGTCTGTATGAATTTTTTCCATATTTTAGATATTTATTGAAATAATTCAGTTTTTAATTATTTTCGACTTGGAAACTTAAAAAAAAAAATACTAAAAATCTGAAAACGTCGGATTTTCCCAGCAATTAGTGAAGATCTCGCTAATCTAAGCCGAAACTATTTAAGAAATTTTTCAATATTTATGGAAATAATTCAGTTTTCAAATCTTTTCTAATAAAGTCGCGTAAGAAGTTGCCACTGGATGGGTGGCAGCTTCGCTACTCATGTGTATATTTGACCCCCACATTGTCATTTACATATATAATTTATTAATAACTAAACCTGAATTTATAAAGCACATATTTGTAAACTTCATTTCATTACCAATTTCTGCTACCAAATTTTTCATGCATCCAAAAAGACAACCAAATGAAAATGTAAGTATGTATGCATTTATAAATGTACATATGTACATACATATATGCGATTGATCTGCTTTTGTCTTCCCCTCGCCGCTTCCATCCCCACAAATTATTCAATTTCTGCGAATCGGCACCAGATTGGCACGTGCGCGAAACCATTAACCCTACATTCACGAAATATTTAGATTTTCGCATAACTTTGCATTTAATAAAGCAATACTTGTACATTTTGTGTGGAGAATAATAACAATTAATTTAAAATTCTGCATGTAACCATGTTCTCGACGATACATGTAACTTTCATGAAGATTAAACATAAAAATAGTGCGTTATTAAAAGCTGGAACCAAAAAAACTATGTCTGCTATAATGGGTTAAACGCAAACCTGAATTGACATTTTTACACGCGTACATGCATACATACATATTAGGGATGGTGCGAATGTGGAATTTTAGACATCCGCGGATGCGAATGCGGATGCGGATGTTTAAAAGCTAACATCCGCGGATGCGAATGCGAATGCGGATGTCAAATACAGTGAAAGTTCCCATATGCGGACACCGATGGTCACCTTTTTTGTCCGTCTATGAAAGATGTAAAATAAAATTAAAATTCATACTTAAAAAATTGAAATTGCGGGTTTCTAAGCTAAAATAATATTTATTCTTCAATAGACAGAAACAGGGTGAATTAAAAATGAATTAAAATTTATGGCGTTTTTCTCTCCTACCGACAAATCTCATTGCCCATTGGCAACGAAAAGGCAACTTTTTTTCTAGAAAAGAAAATATTTTTGAATATGGACTATGTTCTTGTGTACATATTCATATGTAGAAGCGCAAGAGTAAACATTTGACTGAAAAAGTAATTTTTAATATTTTTTTATTTAGTACTTAAATTAAAAATTGGAACATTGTATTTAAAAAAAAGAGTAATTTTGCTGCTTTTTCGGGTTACAGCCTGTTTCCTAACGGGAAAACATTGTTGCGAATGCGAATGTCAAAATTTATGCGGAAGTTCCGCGGTTGCGAATGCGAATGCGAATATTCGCAAATACATATACACATGTACAGTGGAGTAGCACTAGCTTGGACATCGCATTGGTTGTACTATAATAGGGGTATTCTCGAAGTCTTGCACGATGCACGGATTGCACGAAATGCAAAAATACTATTCCAAATTTCGAAGAGTACGAGAGCACCCACGATCCAGAAATAAAGGTCGCGCCATTCGCGGACTGCTAACTCTCTCTTCGTCGATTTGACAGCATCCACCCAATCGCTGACGTCATAAAATACTTTTGTTTACATTCACTGTTGCCAACTTGATGCTTTTCGCACCAAATTTAATGGGTATTCAAAACGCGAAAATTTTTGAGTTTGGTGCTTGGTGCGTTTTTGGTGCTTTTGTTTTTAGTCTGAGGGCACCAAATTAGAAAATCCTAAAAAATCTAAGCAAAATTTATAGCAATCGTAAATGTGGTAAGCAACTTTACAAAAATTTAAACAAAATCATGGCACAGTGACAATCATAAGCGACAACAAAATATGTGGCAGCACCTTCAATCATGCCAGAAGAAATCGACCGTCGTGCAAGAAACATTGATGTTTATTAATTTGAATTGGCATCCTTACAATAAAATCATGTATGCATATAAAGTCCATAAAATACACCAATAAAAATTTGGTGCTTTTTCAAATTCATAACTTGGCAATACTGCCTTTTGTTCGATGCTTCCTCTTTTTCTTGTCGAGTTCGTCTTGCTCTCTCATTCTGGTATTTTTGACGTCACGGCCAGTTGCTCTCAGCTCGATTGGCGCAATCTTGTATTCTATCATTCTTTAGTGTCTGCCGCTGATGGATGGGCGAACAGAAGGAAGTCTGAAGTATATACATACATCTCTATGTTCTCTACAAATCCGTATGCACTATTTAAATTTAAAGAAATAAAAAAAATTAAAAAGTTAAGTTATTGCGGTAATTTATGTCGCTATCAATAAATTCTTGCAATAATCTTATCAACCGTTATGTTAAACTACGGAGTTGTTACGATTTTTTCTGGGTTTTATATTGAAAACAGGGTTTGGTCTACTTTTTCCAAACTTTTAACCCATCAACTCCCACCAGAACGGGCGTTTTTGACTCACTGTTTTAAAAATGGCTTATAGTTAAAATTTCCACTAAAATATTAAGCGCCAAATTTTTCTAAGGAGAACCGAATATAGAGAAAAATAATAGTAATTTTACCAAAATGGGGGACTTTAACCCTGTGTAGAAGACATTGCGATGCGCGGGAGCAAAACCTTCCTGGGATTTGATCACCACTTAGGAATGCTAACGTAATTTTCACACAGCCACCTAGTACTTGTATTCGTCTGCGGGACCCCAGAATAAAATAACTTACTAATGTAAAAATTAGCAAAAAAAAGTGTTTGCTTTTTAATAAAAGTGTGTTTAAAATATTAAAAAAAAATACACAGAAAAATCAACTCGTCTTTGTTTTATCTCCAATAATTGAGGAGTTAGATGCAATAAGGGCGCTTCTGTTAAAACTGATTTCTGAGATATTGGCGTTAAAGTTTTTCATGTGTAACTTTCTTGTTGTTGTAGTATATAAAAAAGTAGTATTGAAAAAATTTCTCTACTGCGGAAAAAAATCGTCGATTACCAGTATTCGACCCTAATTGAACTGTAATAAACGCTTTCGATCGAAAAACGTGTTACCTATGTTTTTTCTGAGTTACGCTTTTTTGGAAATGCTCAGTGCCCCGAATTATGCAAAAAACTCCTTTAAAAAGGTAAATTTCATTTCGTAAAATAGTGTTTTTATACGAATAGTATTTAGTTCCTTTAAACGATGTATTTCAATGTGCATACATCATGAAAATTTTGTACAAAATTCCTTAGGCGCCGAACGCTGCCGCCGCCGCCGCCGCGCCGATATTTTCGTAACTCGGCGGCGGCGCGTGAGAAATGACAAAAAACGGCGGCGGCGTGGCTCGGCGGCGTATACCTCTAATGTATACTATCATCGTCTTCGTGCGTCTTACGCATATATACGATTGACTGATGCTTCGCTGGTGTTTCGGCAAAGCAAATGAAATCAGTTGCTGTTAAGAGTGTTCGGTGATCTTCTGAGTGAGTTTTCTTAGTGGTAAATAAGCATGAAAAATTGTGGTACATTCCAAAACAATGTGGTAGATTCAATGACATTTTCTTCCATTAAAAATCAACGCGATTTCTTAGCGCCTGAAATTTACACTTTGAGCTACTAAATTTTTATAGGCTATAAAACTGCATACCTAAAACTTTTCTAGAAATTCTAAATAAAAAGCCAAAGCGACAGAATAAGATGTTTTTTTAGAAATGATCTATTATTTTCTCAAGAT